ACTTTTTCATTTATTAGCAGTGTTGGGAGTAACGCCGTTTAAGTATAACGGCGTTTCTAACGGCGTTCTTTTATAGGTAACGGAATAATCTAATTAATTACTTTTCCCGCCGTTGCAACGCCGTTACCGTTACTGGGGACGGAACGTTGTGCGTTACTATGTGCTTGTCGAACGTTGAGCAGCAGTGTGAGGCTTTCTGACCGCCACACTTCAGCTGCAGCCAGGGAGAGAGAGGTGTCGGTAACCAGGGACGAAATTTTGATTTCAGAAGTGGGGGGGACACAGCAGGCTTGTGCGGATTTGGGGTGGGGGGTGTTATGTAAAGACCCCTTGACACGTCACGTGCCCATCTCAATAATTTTTCCATCCTCAATATATATATATATATATATATATATATATCAAAGTTAAAAAATGTACAACTCTATTATTATTTTTATTTATTACCATTATTGAAGTGCAGTTTTGGCTGTTGACAATGGATAGGCCATTGTATTTATTGTTTTGGGTCTTTTTTTATTGTTTTTGGTGCAACATTTTCTAACAGGGAGTGAGATTCCTTTTTTATTGAATTTTTGTTTGTTATTTTTATTCATTTAGAAGTTCTGGTTCTGGACATTTCAATGTTAAATGAAGGTTTATTTGTTGCATTTTAAAGGGTGTACTTGCATTATTATGATATATTAACATTATATTAGTGGTTATTTTGGTCTAGATAATGTTGACAATGATATCGTTTATCATCAACAATTTGTTGGACAAAATATCGTCCAGCAAAATTTGTTACTTTCCCAGGCCTAGTCAAAAGTATAAAAATTATTTATACATAAACGGTCCCTCCTGAGATCTGGCCGTTTGTTCATTTGCTGTGTTAGAGGACATGCTGAACTAATGTTTTACACATGATCATCGCCCTAACATTTGAGTGTATGAAAACATATTAAATGTTTTTTCCCTTAAAAGTGTTTAAACAGTTGTTGCATTTCAACACACAAAAAATAAATGGAAAAAATAAGATAAATCTAATGAAAAGTGTACATCTTTGACATTAAGCTTAAAAAAATCTGTTGACGATGATGATACTGTTCATTTTTCAGAGCTTTTTAATGTGAACATATACATTGCAATAGATACGTTTACAATAAAGTTAAATGATAAAAGTTTTGAAGTTACACTTCTACTACTACTAGTAATAATAATAAAAAAATAATTATAATAATACGAATAAATTGTGTCTGAGGAGTCAGTTATGTGGAGGAGATGAGTTTGTAAAAGTTAGTTTTGAGTATGTTTGTGAAGGAGGAGGTGAGTCTGAGCTTAATGCAGGGGTGTCACATGTTCCAACTTACGTTTTGACTTTGAAAGAAGTCTCATCACTTTTCGTTTTCTTGACATGCTGCCTCCTGGCTGTGCCTAACTACCAAAAACTCACAAATGAACAATTATTCAAATGTTATGTAATGGAAGCTGAGCTGAGCTGATATTACACAGCGTCTAGTTGACGATGTGACTCAGTACCGGTGTTCCCTAGCGGCTCCAAACTAGCAAAACAACGTGAGCACGTTCTGACTGTTTACAACTTGAGTGACAGCAGCAACAGCCAATAATACGTTAGCAAGTATCAGCAGAGCCAATAGATTAGCTTTTGGGCGGGTCTAATAGGAAACCGGTTTCCGTTTCGGTCCTAGTGCTCAACCAAATCCATTTAATGGAGCGTAACATTGTTTTTGGACGGAAAAAAGTGCAGGGGACCAAAACTGCCTTTTGAAAAAGTGGGGGGGACATGTCCCACCCGTCCCCCCCCAAAATTACGTCCCAGTCGGTAACGCACTTACAAACACCATGATGATTGGCCGGGTGGGCGGAGACCCTCACGGTCTCAGTCACTGCATTCTGTAGACACAACGGGAATAACTCCGTTTAAAATGACCGCGTTAATAAAAAATATTTCTTTCTGTAACGAGCAAACTAATTAATTACGTCTTCTTTTATCAAAACGTCGTTCCTGTTACTGATAAGAAAATGCGTGCGTTAAGCAGCGCGGTGTGTTGAAGCTGTCAGCTGATCAGGAGCTAAAGAGGCAGATGTTTAAGAGCATCACGGCCCGTGAAGAACGAGGAAGACGTGATGAATAGTCTACGGCGGCAGACCCGTGCCCTTAGCATGACAGCGGGACGTCCCGAAGGTCCGCTCACCTGTTCACTGCTCAGACGTCCTGATCTTCTACCTTCCTAGATCCTCCAGCTGTGACCTGTTTCTGATCATGTCTTTAGTCCCGCTGTAACACTGATGCATCAGTCTCAGACGGCATGGAGCTCAGGTGTTATTAGAACTACCTGTGTGTGTTCACCACCCGCTTCAGCTCTTCTGTGGTTGGGTCTGACCCAGGTTAGTAAATGTAAGTCCTCCATCAGAGTTGTGCCTCTTCTAGTGTCATTTGAAAGGATATTTATTTATTTATTTATTTAACCGTTACTAGATTAGCAGCAACAGAAATGCTGCTAAAAACACACAATTATGTGAAGCTGGAAAAATTAGAATACTGTGCAAAATTACATTTATTTCTGTAATATAGACAGAGAGACAATTTAAAGGCTCGGGAACCTTTACAGGTGTTTCTATTTGCAATTTTAAATTTTAGCTGATTGGGGTCTTGTTAAATATCACACAGTGACCTTTTAATAGTCTAGATTAGTGTAATGTTCCTGTTAGTAGTTCCTCCTGTTAAGTGCTTATTTGTTTAAATTATTCAGGTTTATATAAAACATTTGGACATTCATTTTATTATGTTCAGTCATTAGTCATTTATATTTTACTATTGTAGTAATTCTTGCATTCTTTAATGAAAAAAGTAACTAAGTAGTTACTTTTGTTGGTAATTAGTTACTTTTATGATCTTGTAACTCAGTTAGTAACTGAGTTACTTTTTTGACAAAAGTAATCAGTAACTATAACTAATTACTTTTTTAAAGTAACGTTCCCAACACTGTTTATTAGTGTGTAAGAGTAACCAGTATCTAGTATGCCAAATCCCTTCCAGGATTCAATGCTAATAGGAACTGTTAGTTGACATGGTAGAGCGCTCACATAAGTGGAGACAGGAATGTGGGCTTCTGGGGTTCCAGAGGTGGTGGAAATTCCCAGCGTGGCTATTTCTGTGTTCGTCATTCGAGTTGGCCGAGTTGAAGGGTTTTGTGGTGAGGAGGTACGATTTGGAATATGGTGTGGACACGTAGCAGCTGAGTGATTTCCTTTGCATCGCCAACAAAAGGCTTGGCGGTTTGGATAGTTTTGTTGTTGTGATTTCCTTGTATTTTCACGGTTTGGAGGTCAGTAGTCAGGTGGGTTATTTGTGGTTTGCCTTTTCTTCTATGTTCGTAATGGTACTGATTATCTCTGTCTTTTTCTAGTTGTTGGCCCATCCGAATGAGTTCATCCACAGTGGTGACTCTGCTACTTCGTAGTTGGCTGGCGAGGTTGGGATTAATATTTTTCAGAATTCATTTGATTATTTCCTCTGAGATTTTTGATTTCCAGCATTTACATAGGGATTGGTACATATAGGTGAAATCTCTAATGCTTTCATTTACCCCTTGTATTCTGTTCCGTATTCTTTCAGCCAATTCATCTTCGTAGTCTGTAAGAAAAGCAGTTCGAAAACCTTTTTGAAATTCCATCCAAGTGTGGATTTTATGTTGTGCGACATCCCACCAGTCTCTTGCGGTGCCATGTAGGACATTTCTTAAGGTTGCCATCAGTTCTTCATTAGTTAATGGGTTAAGTGCCAAGTACATGCCCTACAGGTTATAAATTGTAAGTCGCTTTGGATAAAAGCGTCTGCTAAATGAATAAACATATGTAAACATATATATATATATGCAAGTAATCTTCGCACCTTTCCAAATATTGTAGGGGGTCATCAATTTTCCCATAGGTTGGAAATTGCAACTTTATGGGTGCTTTACTCGATTTTCTGCTTCGTCCAGAAGAACTTGGTACGACAGTTTGTACTTCCTGCTGGACTGTAGACTCCATTCTGGGTCAGCTGGGGACACCTGCAGTGTCTGGTATACCACAGTAGCCTGTGTGAGCAGTTTGATCCAACAGGGTTTGATGAGGTAGTTGTACAGATTTTAAATTTACAGTCATTTCTTCAAACATTTGTTTCATTGTAGTTTTTGGATCCAAGAGCTCCCTCTGCAGGTTTGTGATATTGGTTTGAAGGCATGCCACACTTGCGGTTATTGGGGCTACTAAAGTTTGGATTTTTTGTAGGAATTCAGTTTGTTGATGTTTCAACTTCCATCCAAATGAAGCTTTAAACTGTGACATGTACTCACATTGTGCATCCATGTCCATATAATTGTTTTGTTTGGCCCATAGTTAAATCCGTCATTCTTGTTTCCACATCATTTAGCTTGTCCTCCATATTTTAATTCTTCCATCCTTTTCTCTAGGTCTAACGTCTGGGATTGATCTCTAGATCGGCCTTGAATTAAAGTTGGAGAGGTTAGTAGAGGTGTAGATGATGGGGCTGAGGAAGCTTGAAGCGTAGAAAATGGCTGAACTCCCAAGTGAGGTTTGAGCAGCTGTGGGAGGTTCCAACAAGTCCACTCCGGTCAACTCCATATCCAGAAGTGTAAACTATAGAACTGGTGCTGCCGTAGTTGAAGTCATCATTCCGTTTACATTTACTCTTTCTTCCATGTTTTGATTGTTCATGTCGGTTGGATGCTTTCAAAATAAAGATTTTATTCATTTCCTTTGTGTCCAGTTACTAGAGAAAAACGCTGTCCCCTTACAGTCTGGTACACAGATCATCACATCAATTGACAGAACATTTGTCCAAAAGAGTCAACATTGTTGTTGGAAACTGAATCCAGTTGGGTTTAAGCTCTGCCTGCAGAAGGTTTATTTCCTCTGTTCTGAACTCATGAGTGTAAATGTGAACCCCTCTGTTTTGTTGTGACGTTGGTGTTTATTATTAAATAGCTCAAGTGTTTAAGTTTAGATTTTATTTAACATAAATCATATTGCAGTCTACGTGAACAGCTGGGGTTTCAATATACACAACAAAATCAGAACATTGTAAGCCCCTCCCTCTTTGCCCCACCCCAAATCAAAATCTTCCTCCGCCCTTCCCATGGAGCCCACCCAAACGTAGCCCAATAAAAGACATAGCCCCCACCCATACCATACTACATCCTGCCCCAGCTCAGAAGCAAACTCCAAACTGGTGTGCTCAATCCAATTTCCTACAAGCATCTCTCGCTGCTAAGCCCCGCCCTCTTCACTACAGTCACTGCAGAAACGTGTTAAGGCATGTTTCCTCTCTCACAGGCCACTCTCAAGCCTGTCTCAGCTACTTTAATCAGTCTTGCTAGATTTGGCCCCTCCCCAAACCTCAGAAGCCCCTCCCCTTTCTTTACACCTTCAGGATGCAGCAGGGCCTCTTTAACTAAAAACTACAACTTGTTAAGAACATTAAGGCGCATCAGCTGCCTTTGTGACTCTGAAGAGCTGCACCCCTCTGCTTGGAGTTTGCTGCTGGCTGACTAATCTGTAACCAATGAATGAAGGCGGCGATAGGGAGGGGGGGCGTGTCCTTCTGTTCACCTGTGTGATGTCAGGTGTCATCACCTCAGACAAAATAAAACCAAAACAAAGGAACAATCTTGTGGGTATCATTATCATCAGCGGAGAGATGTCAGCCCAAGCAACATTCACTAACAACCTTCTCCTCCCCTCTCCATCTTCATCCGCCTTCTCCTAAGCAGAGTCCAGAAAGTTGTATGTTGGCATCCTTTGTGGTGTTTAAACGGCAGATTTTTGCATTTTGGAAGTAAAATGAAGAGAAATCTGGAAGAATGAGGAGGAGAAGGAAGGAGGGGAAACAAGGAAGAGAAGGGTGGCATTCTTTCTTTTGTGTTAAAACAGGAAAGCATCTTGCTGCGCGCTGCTTTCTGCCACTCTGACTCCTGCTCCAGCTGATGAGCAGGTCTGAGGAGGGAATGAAGGAGGGAGGGAGGGAGGGAGGGGAGGAGAGGAGATGATGAGAGAGATCTGGAAAATGGGATGCAGAGTTACTTAAGACATCTCTCAAAGTAGGTGGCGCCCACATAGCCACCCCTCAGGGAGCGATGGACATTTTGCTCAAAGAGCCGCCGGTTCGTCTGCAGGACTTCTGCTGCCTCCTTGTTCAACGGATCTTCAGGGTTTGGCTCCTGCAGGAGGAGGACAAAGAAGGAGACAGCCAATTAGTAATGTCCATCATCTGCAATATGTCCAAAAACATTTCACATAAGCACACAAATCATTAGTGGTGCACCGAAAATGACCCAAAAGCTCTTTTTCGGTCGCAACACCAAAATCACCAAAGCAACACAGCTAAACAGGCCGTCAGGTGTACCTCGTTTTAGTGTCATCCCTCATGTGGTCACTTGCTCTTTGCTTCATAAAAAAGTAATGATACCCCCTTTTAGTACTGCTGTTTTATTGCGATCACAGGAATATTCCTATCCATTATGTGACACACACTACTTTCTACCGCGCCTGCAGGCCTTTTATTTTTTCTTCTTTTACATTCCTGCAAGTCTGCCACTATTAGCAGTGTTTTACCGTCCTGTCTACACCCACCACGTCCCGAACAAGGTTAAATAAGCTCTGGATCATATAAATGATGAATGACCCGCACTTGGATAGCGCCTCTCAGAGTCAGGACTCCAAAGCGCTTTACACTACAGTGTATCACTCATCCATTCACACACACATTCACACACTGGTGATGTGTGTGATGCATGTTTACGCTCATGAGGCATGTGGACTCTTGTTGATGCCCGCAGCTCCGTCACTTTCTCCCTCACTGGACGAGTGAAAATCTTCATCAGAGGGTGAATAATACTCTTCAGAATCAGAGTCAGCCATTACAAGAGTTTTGTCAACAATGAACAGCCCTGTCAGCAATGTAAGTTTCTCCTCTCCAATATATACTGATATTCACCCTCTGTGAGCTCCACTCGTCCTCTCAGTCAAGAACGTCCTGACGGGGTATGGGGGGTAGAAACACCCAGAGGTGATGCTCGGATTGAAGTTACACTTCTACACCATCTTCTGGTGTATGAGGGATATATTTGGCACATTAAACGCAATATTGCGACTGTTGGCGAGTGTAGCCATTGGGTCGTCGAGCAGCTAATTGGGGCATGTGTTGGCGCGCCCTCAGAGTCATTCCAGTCCAGGTTTCGATTAAAGTGCCTTAATTTGTAGTTCAAAAACACTTCCTTCAATCAGCGTTCACAAGCATCACACAACCAGAAAAACGAACAGATCCACAAAGTAGAGCTAACAATCCACGCAAAAACCATTTCAGCGGTAAGCAAAAGTTGACTTCCCCCATCACCAGGGGTCTCATTTATCAAGCTTACTTACGCACTAAACAGGGTCGGAAAACTGCGTAAACAACTTTCCACGCAAACTTTGGGATTTATGAAAGAAAACTTAGCGGGAAAATGTGCGCAACTTTAAATGGTAAATGGTCTGTATTTGATATAGCGCCTTCTAGAGTTCTGGAACCCCCCAAGGCGCTTTACAACACAACCAGTCATTCACCCATTCACACACACATTCACACACTGGTGGGGATGAGCTACGATGTAGCCACAGCTGCCCTGGGGTGCACTGACAGAGGCGAGGCTGCCGAGCACTGGCGCCACCGGTCCCTCCGACCACCACCAGCAGGCAACGTGGGCTAAGTGTCTTGCCCAAGGACACAACGACAGCAACAGACTGAGCGGGGCTCGAACCTGCAACCTTCCGATTATGGGGCGAGCACTTAACTCCTGTGCCACCGTCACCCCAGTTGACTAAGGACCTGGCTTACGCACATGTTGGACATGGAGAGCACCTGCAGTGCTGCTGCTGAGAAGGATACCATTATGGAATCCTGCAGCGTTATCACTTGTACCGATTCGTTTTCACACAGAACAAGACCCTCCACATGCACACACATGCGTGTACACACACATGCGTGTACACACACATGCGTGCACATGCACACACAAACACAGCCTGAAACACAGCAAAATACGGAATGCAGAATATCAGCAGGGGGATAGATTGAGACAGAATGGCATGTGTCTGTGACGGTGTGTGTCCCGTCACTGTGACCCGACTGATCATGCGCGCTGGCTACTTGGACAAGGCTGACTGGTTAGCGCGCGTGACTTTCACCCGGGAGTCTGGGGATCGAATCCTGATCGGACCATTTTTTATATCCGCCACAGATCTCTCTGAAGAACTCACAGCATTGACGGCCTCAGCAGCGCTGTGCCACTCTGTGGATTTTCTCTTATTTGTTTTGCAAAAGCACTTCCTTTCCAGGGGTGGACCGTTAAAGCGCCCGAGCGCCAATGGCGCTAAATTTTCTCGTCGGGCGGTAAATACTTGACGACTTACCGCCCGGGTGGCGCCCAAGCCTTATTTGTCATTTACACACTGGCTTTCACCTACATCATGGCCCCGCCCTGTAGGAAGCCGCAGTTTTCGTTTCGCGCGCGTGAACCTGCGCGCCTCTAGCCACGTTCTGCACTTGTACGATTCGTGCACATACTGCACATTCTAGTTATAGTCACGTGAACTATAAGTTCACTATTAAAGACGAAGTGGAACCACGCTAGAAACACACAAGCACGCAGAAAGATCGCGCCACCACAGGGATGGGATTTCTTGATGAAATCTCCAGCAAAACGCTTTAAAACTGGTGAGGAGAAGCGAGACAGTTCGAAACGGTATGAAGCAGAGAAGCGTGTGCGTAGGTGGAATGATTCTTGGCGGTTTAAAGAAGAAGGGAGGCGCAGAGAATGGCCGTGTTCGAGTTGAGCAGCGCATCGCCTGGAAAACAGGCGAGAGAAGACGGAAGCAGCGGGGGGAGTGGCTGAAAGCCGGCGTTTCGCCGGGGACACACCGGCCGCGGAAGCGCCCGAAGCGCCGAGAAGCGAATTGCTCACGAAATTCGGCCGCTGCTCGCCGCTCCTCAGTTCAGATCAGACGCGCCCCATTTGAGGCGCGCCTCGGCTCAGCTGTAGTTTTTCTTTTAACTACTTGTCCTCCATTTCCTCTCTCTTTTCTCAGCTCTTTTCCTCTACGTGTGTGTGTGTGTGTGTGTGTGTGTGTGTGTGTGTGTGTGTGTGTGTGTGTGAGAGAGAGAGAGAGAGAGAGAGAGAGAGAGAGAGAGAGAGAGAGAGAGAGAGACAGAGACAGAGACAGAGACAGAGAGAGAGAGAGAGAGAGAGAGAGAGAGAGAGAGAGAGAGAGACTATGCTGTGAACCAGTTGTTTCTGCCAGTTGAATCTCTTGGATTTTCCTGCATGTGTAGCTCGGGGGTGACGATGGCTGAAGATATCGCGTCAGCGTTCACATTTGTTTAATTTTCAATTTTAATTCTGGTGCCTGTTAGCAGCTGAAACATCCTCACGTGCTTGTGGATATCATATATTGTATATGAAGACATGACTGTAATAATTAAAGGTTATCAGCTGTAGGTTTAGTGTGCTCATAGGAAACGTGACAAAAGAAAACAAAACACATTTCTCTTTATGGCCTATATGTGATTTATAGAATACATGTGAACAACTAACATTTCATGTTCTACCACCGAATGTTTGGATCAAAATATGAACCAATCAGATCTTAGATCAGGTGAGAGCCAGGCGTTTCCCATCATCATCTAGGTTTTGCAGCCGAGGGAGAGCAACTGCAGCGCCTTGCTCCAAAATCTGCGGCCGCCTTGATCTCACGAGGTTATCGTTGTCTACGTATGCATGACGTCAGAGCAAGTCGGCATCAATTCGGACACGAATCTAACCGGCATGCACTGCTCGCCGATCACCGCTGGTCTAGTCTGCGCAGAACTGGCTCATCTCGAACACAGCCGATGGCTCGAATACAGCAAAGCGGAGTTGGTGATGTACTGTGTTGTATGCCGGAAGTATGCGACGACAAAATCATGTTTTGTTGAGGGAACAAACAAATTCAAACTTGAATACGTTATTATGTTTGTGAATGTGTACAAAATAAAGGTTTATTACATTTAAAACAGTTCTGTTATTATTTTGACTCGTTTTGGCAGCTGACCAGTGGGGCCGGTAGATTCTTGGTGGGGCCGGTAAATATTCAGAGTTACCGGCCCGGCTGGCCGGTTGGTTTTGAAGTTAATGTCCACCCCTGCTTTCATTTCTCCACCTCACCCACAGGTACCTCAACTTCTGCTTCTGTGAAATAGCGCTTCCTTGATCTGCCTTGATCTACGGTCGCCATGTCATTGGCGGAGCACTGCAACAGCCGGCTTATGTATATGCATGAGGTCCACAAGGCACTTTGCATTGACTATTTATGGCAGTAAGTGGGCGTGGTGAGGGCGGGATGTGACTAAAAAGCAGCTGAGAAACATTCCCGTTAGTCTCTGATTTATGAAGCGGAGATTGAGTGCAGCTGTGCGTCCTCCATGTTTGATAGGTCACACACCTGCTTGGCGTAAGTACATTTGTTTTGCTGAGCTTAAGTACGGTTTTAGTAAGGATTCTACGCCATGTTTGATAAATGAGACCCCAGCTCATTATAACAGCCTTCCCACGCAGGTGCGCAACAGGTAAATAACAATCGATAGACACCACGTGATCCGAGACTACTCCTATCCATCACAGCGACTTGTTAATTTTACAGTCCTTCTAATGCTTTGGTTTTCGGTTTCGGCCAAGGATTTTCATTTCGGTACATCCCTACAAAACATCAAAGCTGAAATGCAACGTTTACAAAATTATAAAACAAAGAAACTAAATCACTGAAGAGGCGTTTTCTTAGGTGGAACATAGAAGTAATAATATCTGGGCAAAGGAGGTCAAACATTTTTCTAATTATAGGTTATTAATTTACACACAAGCTATACTGATGAATGTTCAACTCAAGTTATACAAGAACACAAGAAGGCAATAAAAACAAACAAAAAAAGGGAAGATATTTACAGATAATAATAGTGATCATCATCATAATAATAACTCACTATTCACCTCAAAAATCCTGGTATAATTATTCAGCAGCCACAGTTATACTTTGACTTGAGCTTGTCACTACACTGGAGTTCGCTTAGCTCCATCTGGAGGTTGGTTGGTGTGCTTTCCACGTCACCCGCAAACATTACTGAGCAGTCAGAGCCTCCATTTTTGGGCTAGTAAGAGGAGGATCTTCAGTTTCTCCATCACTGAGGAGGTACGGCTGCAGATGTCGACGCTGGTAGCACGGACGCTAATGACTATAAACAGAAAAGGAGGGGGTGCTTCGACTGACGTCGCTAACGTCACAAAGCATTCTGGGATTTGTAGTCTTTGTGGTAAATGCACCAAATTTAAATAGACCACAAGCCAGATTTGACCCGAGGGCCCGAGTTTGACACTTGTGCCTTTGAGAGCAAAGGTAGGCACAGTTTATGATTAAATATTACCATTGGCACTATTGACATGTAATTGATCTTAAATATGAATTTTTTTTCATCAGCCTGAATTTATACGGGGAAATAAAACAATCAATTTCAGTAAAACTCCATCCGCTCTGACAAAACGCACCTTCTGTATGTCAGCATCTTAGGCTTCAGCATTTTAAAGTTAAAGTCATCATCACACACTGGTGAAACTACATCTCTGCATCTGACCCATCCCTGTGGGGAGCGGGGAGCTGCAACTGTGTCAAGACCAGACCAGATTCAGGGGGAGGAGAGATGCCTGATGACACAAGTGGGCTACTTTCTCCTGGACGCAGGACAAATCTTTACATGGACAAAGTTGAAGCTGAGGCAGGAAAAGGCATGAATGCAACCAAAAAGGGTTTGGGGAGTATTTCTCATGAGGAAATGCCAATATCACATGGTAACAAGCTCCAAAAAGTGGATTTTCAAGGATCTGGCCCCTTTAAAAGACAAAAGGATCACAGAACCACAAATAGCAAGAAAGACTGGCTGCTGGGAAGGAAAACAGATAGGTGGGGATTGGATCAAGAGTTCTGGACCAAAACTGGGATTCTGACGAGAATGCGGAACCAGCTTTTAAATTTCCCAGCCTCTACTTGTTCTTTTGCATTCTCATTATTTTTACTGACAGTGAATTATATTTTAATTTTGATGCTAGAAGTCATTCCCTCACAGAGACTCTGACTTTAAACAAACAGTGAAAGAATCAGAGTTTAACTCACTAGAAATAGATACTGTAGACCATAGATGATGGAGTTTATTGTCAACACGGGCTTCCAGTCCTCTCTGTGGATGACAACCAGAGACACAAACAAACAAAATCCTCGTCAACTTTGTGTTTAATTAAGTCCTCGTCTTTAAAATCCACTTAGATTTAAGGCTTCTATGACAGAAAAAACACTGAAATCTTTCATGGTAATTGGTCTGTATTTGATATAGCACCTTCTAGGGTTCTACAACCCCCCAAGATGCTTTACAACACAACCAGTCATTCACCCATGCACACACACACTCCCACGCTGGTAGTACAGAGCTAAACATTGGCCACAGCTTCCCTGGACCACACTGACAGAAGCGAGGCTGCTGAGCACAGGCACCACTGGTCCCTCTGACCACCAGCATCAGGCAAGGAAGGTTAAGTGTCTTGCCCAAAGACACGACTGTGACAGAGCAGACCTTGTATCTGCAACCCTCGGGTTACGGGGCCAGCACCTAACCCCTCTGCCACGGTCTGTATCATTTTCTGTTTCAAAGGCTCTCTGATGCTGCTACAAGTTGAGCCAATCAGGAGATTTCTGTTATAACCATTGATGTTGTTAAACCAAATGTATGTAAATCAAGCTCCCGTTGGTTCACATGATCCACCGGGCCTTAAATAAACCTTAACCTCAGACGACACACAGAGACAGACCTTAAGATATTTAAGCAGACGTTTCCCTCCAGGTCGATGTTGGGATGATACACCATCGTCTCACACTTTACCTTAGGGGGGTCATGGGGATAACCCTGTCCTACCTGGAACACACAAATGTAAGTTAAAAAATCTATATCAGTTATAAAAAATGAATATACACTACCCAGCCCCAAAAAGGTGGCCACCTGGATTTAAGTAAGCAAAGAGGCACAGGCCTCCAGCAACAAGTTATTTAACCCCAACTGGTGCACTGAGTTGCTTCTCATTTCTTCAACAACCATGTGGAAAGACACCTCTGGTGGTCGTGGAAAAGATGTTAGTCTGTTTGAGAAGGGTCAGATCATTGGCATCAAGCAGAGAAAACATCTGAAATTGTAGAAACGACTACAATGGGTAAAGAACTGTCCAACGCTTTATTAAAAACTGGTCTGATGAGTCCAGATGGACCATGTTCCAGAGTGAGGGTGCATCAGGGTAAGAAGAGAGGCAGATGAAGTGATGCACCCATCGTGCCTAGTGTCTACTGTACAAGCCTGTGGGGGAAGTGCTATGATATGGGGTTGCTGCGGTTGGTCAGGTCTAGGTTCAGCAACAGGATGTACTCTAAGAATGTGGTCAGCTGACTACCTGAATATACTGAATGACCAGGTTATTCCATCGATGGATGTTTTCTTCGGGCATATTCCAAGATGACAATGCCAGGATTCATTCAGGCTCAGATAGTGAAAGAGTGGTTCAGGGAGCATGAGACATCTAGCCTAGTGAACTAGACCAAATTCTTGCTTTGCAAAGTTTGGTCTAGGCATGCTCCATTGGAACCTCCACAGCTCCTACCAGGACTCTGGCTGGCCAATCACAGCTCTCTAGAGGGGTTTCAAACACATAAAGAGCTGTGATTGGTTCATAATGGTGGGCCAATCATAGTGCTCTATCTGCTTAGTGAACAAATCACAGAGCTATATCCGCTTTGTGGGCCAATCAGGGCACTCTATATGCCTGGTGGGTGGGATGATGCAACAGAGTGAAACAAGAGTATGTCACACTCATTGTCCAGTAGACAACGGTAGAACCCGCCCCACAACCGAGACCCGTCAATGGAGCGTGGCCAGACTAAATAATACATTTATTTAGTCTGGCTTGCCAGGCTAGGAGACATCATTTTCACACATGGATTGGTCACCAGAGTTCAAACTAGGGCTGTCACAGACAACTGTTTTAATAATCACTAGTAGTTTTTTGGCCATTAGTCAACTAACAGTGTCATGCGTAAAGTATAGCTTATTGCACCAAGATGCAGCTGCTTTAATGTACCCATCATTAGCTTCTAGTCTGAAGTGTGATCTGTTATGTGCCATCTAAATATAAAGACAAGATGATGGTTTATCAAATGACAGGGGCCTCATGTCTGTCTTTGCTTGCCGAGGTGTGTATGTTGTTGGCTTGGTAACAAACTCGCCCATTGAAGAGTGCTTTAATAACACTGTAACGTCGCTGGATACAATTAATCATTAGAGTTTGTAACGTCAGAGCAGATATGTGACATACATGTGATAATGGTAATGAAATTGCCATCACTACTGTTGTTGCCACAGTTATAAATACAAGTAACTCCTTGTTGACATTAGCGGCTAATGAGAGGCAATTAGCTCACAGACGCGACTGTCGCTCTTCGTTCTCCACCATGACGCGCTTCCTTTTAATGTGCTCATGCATCACCGTTGATCGCCTGTAAAAGGAGAGATCTATTTTGCAGATTTTGCACTGTACAGGTTTCTCTTCTTTGTAAAATGTTCCCAAACATTTGAGCTACATTCCCGGCTTGCCATGATGTCTTGTTTTTCCGGATTTGTGACTAGGATGGCCACAACTGCGCATGTGCCTCGAGCAGAAGGTGCCGGCAACATTACGAAATATGCTTCATAGAATAAGCAGCACCAATTATTCATTTATTGTCAACGTCATCGTGATTAATCGACTAATCGTGGCTGCACTAGTTTAGACCTTAACCCCATTGTGGGATGTGCTGGAGAAGGCTTGTGCAGCGGTCTGACTCTACCATCATCAATGCAAGATCTTGGTTAATGAATGCAGCACTGAGTCTGGTGACACTGCAGAAGCTTAGTGAAACAATGCCACAGTGAATGTGTGCCGTAATCAAAGCTAAAGGCTAGAGGTGCTGAAAAAAATCGATTCAAGTCTGAATCGGGATTCTTATTTATAAAGATTCAGAATCGATTCCAAGAACTCAAATATTTGGCATGTTACAGGTTTGAGATGCACTTTTTTTTATCTTTGTTAGGAGAGTCAGTACTCAGTTTACTTTTGTGGTCCCATAAATTGAGATGATTTATGTTTGAAACTGCTGATAAGAGGAAACTTGAATGTAAATTTAGTCATACTCAGAAATTTGAGATATTCTCATATTTATTTTCCAAGTTGATAAATGAGTACTCAGGATTACTCATTTAACTTGTTTCTACACATACTTGAAAAGTATTTGACCGCATTACTTTCAAAGCTACTGTTAGGTAACTACAGATTTGTAATATTTTACAAGGTAAGCAAAAATAAATGTTGCCTTTTGGTCAAAAGATTGTTTCTGTTTACAGTTTTATAATCACTTTAGTTTACCTTGTAAATTTGCTTTTTTGGAGCACGACCAGTTTAAAGTCAAATAAAAATGTCCCATAGCTTTAACTAACTTGTACAACTAAGTTCATCCTGGAGCTGACACTCTTTGTTAGGGCTGCACGATATTAGGAAAACCTGCGATATTCGATAACAGTGCTTAATATTGCGATATCGATATTACTCGCGATAAATGAACAAATACTAAAGTATGCAGTGTTGATGTCGTCTGGCGTGTGACGTCTGCTCTGGGTTCAAAGCAAACAAAAACTAATGCATGAATTCCATTACAACATAACATTTTTATTGCAAAAATATGCAGCTGCACCTGCTACTGTATTAGCAGCTGCACCCGCTACTGTATCAGCAGCTAGCGGCTGCACCCGCTACTGTATTAGCGGCTGAACCCGCTACCGTATTAGCGGCTGCACCCGCTACCGTATTAGCGGCTGCACCCGCTACCGCATTAGCGGCGGCACCCGCTACCGCATTAGCGGCGGCACCCGCTACCGCATTAGCGGCGGCACCCGCTACCGCATTAGCGGCGGCACCCGCTACCGCATTAGCGGCGGCACCCGCTACCGCATTAGCGGCTGCACCCGCTACCGCATTAGCGGCTGCACCCGCAACCGTATTAGCAGCTGCACCCGCTACTGTATTAGCAGCAAAACAACAAACTGCATGCATGCAGTTTCTCAGTGACTTTAAAACATCACCTCCACCATAAAACTTGTTCTGATGCTCCAAATACAGAAAAACATCCCTTACCAGGGTTTTTAGAATAAATAAAATCAGAAAATAAGTTTAAATGTCAAATAAAAGTTAACATCACTTAAATGCAACAGCAAATTCTCTCATTGCTACTGAACATTTTCTCCACTTATGTGGTTATGATATAAGGCTGTTGCTGTAACTGGGAAGTGAACTGTGCTGGGCCAAACTAGGAGAATATTAAGATTTTCTGAGGGAAAGAGAAAAACAATTGTCTACCTTTCAGAAGAGGAACTGGCAAAAAACTACATGGAAAATATGTGAAAACGTTTGTTTTTAACCCCAAATGGAAGAGAGGGTGCTCGCTGCGGAACCACAAAGGCGGAGCTGCACCAGAGGGTGGAGCTGCACTAGAGTCAGCTCCACCCATTCCTGCTCCTAATTGGTGCAGGCAGACTCGCCTCTGCTGAGACGGTCCTTGTTGCAGCAAAAGCACAAAGGTGGAGCTGCCGCTCCCGGCCGTTCCAAGTGACTCCAACTTCGGCTTAATGGCTGTAAGTAACCTAACTTAAAATAAACACAATTAAAGTTATTTATTTAAACGTTTATTTTGCAATGTGCGGTAAATTTGGCTCAAATTGCACTCGGTACTTATGCTAACATAGCTAGTAGGGTAGACTTCAAGGTTATCGAAAACGAATTTAAACTGAAAGCGCGTACACAAAACTAACTAACTGTATTTATTGAGATAATGGGCTTAGTTTTTGTTTCATAAAGTATGTCATAAAGTGTAAGAATTATTTCTATGTCACTCCCTGCCTACGGCGCGTTGTCACCAGAAACAGAGATGAGATCATCTGTTGTGCCTTTTTGGTTAGCACGCTTTGATAAAATCAACAGAACAGAAAAGTTTGATAAAAGTCCATCGACTCACTCCCTTTCAAGGCAAATAAAAGACGTCTTAGCTATTGGAACGATGATTAAACACGCACTAGTCTTCAGAAACAACTTTATAACCGGTGAGTTATGGCTAACAAACAAGCTAACATTACAACTGTAAACTGCAAATCATAGCAATGGGAGCCAGCCGAAGTGGTGTACGCTGGTTTAGGTTGTGTGTGTATATGCTAAATTGATGAAAAATAATCCCTCTATTTTTTCTGGTTGTTGGGTGGTTTTCACTCGGTAGTACTGCATTATTCCAACACGTCAGAGAAGTCAGTGTGCTGATTGTGTAGCTGCGGTTACACATCATGTAAGCAAAGGTTGAGAGAAAGCGTCACAGGATTATTTGGGATTATTTATGACTAAGAGTATGTGCAAAATAACCTAAAGCATTGTGGTAGTCATGGTAGCTTGGCTTTAGTTTTATTGTGTTGCCAGTCAGTGTTTTTTTTAATAGAATTGTAGCACCTGCATTAATTGTTTGGCGTTTTAACGCACAGGTGCTGTTATTGTGTTTACTGAATTTGAACGTTACTCTGCCATACATCTTTTGTACTTGCCTGATTACAGTTTTTAAAAAGCATAATCATTTTCTGAGTTTTTATACTATTTTTTAGTCTTGTCCCTGTACACATCTTGTTTAAAGAAGACAGAAACAATCAAAACTAAACTAAAACTAAACTACCTATCGAATGGTATAAAGTAATTAAAACTAAAATTGAATTTAAATTTTTTATTCAAAACTAAATAAAATTTTAATCTAATGACAATTTTAAAAGTATTTTATAACCCTGGTAGACTTTCCCAGTGCACTTGT